ACAATTTTTCCCTCATTAATTTGAGGTAGTTTGTAGTGAGTAAATAAAAAATCGAAAAAATAATCTCAAATTAATGTTGCACATTAATCTAATCCACTGTTAAGTAACTTACAATGTCATAGGATTTCATATATTTAATATATATAAATTAAGTTAATAAAAATCGACGGATCGTTAACCTTGTAGGTCGGTTGGTCGTGGTTGCTGTTGTCACCTCTCGTAGTTTAGTGGTCAGAACATTGGTGCGTAAAGCCAAAGGTCCCGGGTTCGATTCCCGGCGAGGGTGTGACAACAACAACAATTTTCCCTCATTAACCTGAGGTAGTTTGTAGTGGGTAAGAAATTCGAAAAATTAATTTTCATATTAAATGTTAATAATTTTTTTGACTAAGTACCTATTACATTTTAAATCTTACACATAGTTTCGTCAGTCCTAAGACTGGTTGCACACGCACCTCCACTCCTTCCTATCCTGAATTAATAATCGCATTTCCCTAAATGTAAAACATCTCATATCCTTAACTATTTGCGAACAGTAATCTAATTTAGGTCTACCTCTACTCCTCTTAACTCCTGTTTCTGCCTCTAATATGTCCACATAATTTTATGAGGTATTTATTGGCTAAAAATTTTTAAACTCAAATTGATTTCTGGCAGTTAATAAGGGATGTAATAAACCGTTTTGGAAAATTCTATTAATTGTTTTACTATTCTAGGGCATATTGGGAAGCTTTTTTTATGGTAGTTCTCTTTTTAATTTTGGTTCTCACACCGTTGTTAAGTGTATCCTTAGACGGTATACAGAAATATTCGAAATATTTCGTGAAATCCGTGCGATATCTGAATTTCTTTGGAATTGCAGACATATTTTTAACATTCTGTACCGGAGTGTACGTACACCAAACAAGAAAAGTGGTATTGGACCCAAAAATTGTGGCAAAGTAAGTCAGAAAAAGAGAAAGTAAAAAAACTTGGATCAAAAAACAAATAAAATTAAATGAATATCATAATGTGCGAAATTAATTTATTTTGCAATAAATCGGATAATTAGTTAATAATAGTATTTAAATATATTTTAAATGTAATCATATACTTTTTCGGTATTTTACCCAAGTTTGGCTCTATGTAATAATAATTGTAGGAAATATGTACTTGGGTATTTCTTTGTGGATTTGTTATCGTCTTTTCCCTTTGGAATGACCAAGGAAGCCGCTTTCAAAAAGTCCAGCTTAACATATCAGGTGCTTTCGTTTGCACCTTTTATAAGAATTCTCCGAGTCGCCAATCTTATGAAATATATAGACAGATTTCGAGATGTAAGTTGAAATATTTGTGCAACTTTCAATACATTAGGTAGGTAGGTAAACAATTTATGAAAAATTTTTGAAATTTGTATTGAGCTTACTAAAACATAAAATGTCCGTTCTAGTGGCGTCACCACAGTTATTATAAAGTCAAAGTTATCAAATTGTTCATAATTTTTGTGCTTCTCGTAATGTGGAGTTCAAGTGTAATGTACAGGGTGGCTTTTCACGGAAAATCGAACTGGCTCCTGGAGGGTAATATAATCCGAAATTTGGCTTTGTCTATATTAAAGGCCGTGTACGATTTGGTCCACGTCGGAAGTGATATTAACAATTCCAACAAAGTTGGGGACATAATTGTCAGCATAGTCTGTATAATTGTTGGATTTGTGTTCAATTTATTCGTTGTCGGTAAGGGCATGTAAAATTACTTTTTAGAAATATATGTGTACGTGTAAATTTTTGAAACTTTCTTATAATTATCACCGCGCGCTTTTGAGTGATAGTCCAGGATGCCTGGTACATTTTTTCACTTGATGGTCTTGTGGTATTAACAATTTCTGAGCGTAGAACCGGAAGAAGGTACCACGCAATTTGTAGGACAATGCGACTGTTAAATTATATAAATATTAACTAAGTAAAAAAAAAATCATTTGGTTAGTAATCATTTATGATGGCCTCATTATCGGTGCATGTTGGAAAGAGGGGACTCTTTGATAAAACCAAAGATTTTGTAGGACAAATATTTTTTCGAATAATTTAGATAATTATCTTGAGATTAAACAAAAAAAACCCCAGTTAGTAATAAATTTTTGAGAATCATCAAACCGACATATTTTATCCTTGCTAATTGAAAATTAGCTTGATAGTAATCAAGTGCAAAAATGTACCACGGATCCTGGACTATACTGTACAGTACCCAAATATTACTAATAGTACCTACATGTCCAACGCTTTCACCAATTCTGTAGATATTGTCACATATTCATATAAAAGTTAGGTATAGTAATGAACAAAATTGGTCTTAAGTCTTACTCTTGTGAAAGATCAAGACTATTTTTATACTATAAGACCAAAACTGAACGAACAAGATTAAGACTAAAACCAAGATCGAATATGCAATACCAAGACCAAATAACCAAGACTATACGAAAAAATATTACTTATGGTGGATTTATGAGTCAAACTATTTGAAGCAATTTGCTTTCTTGGAACAAAAACATTTTTAATATTTGAAATTTTCGGTTTGCTTAACTAGATTTTAACATTTAATGTAAAAAAAAGATTCTTTACCACTGTTTGGAACAAGGGATGTACAAGAATAAGCCGTCTCATAATTAGCCGCAAATTACTGTAAATTAGACTTAAGCCGGGAAATCCGAAAACCAGTTTGCAACTTCAAATGTACCCGACTGAAAATTAGTTCAGTATAGGATCCTATCCGGATTAGGATTACCTGCAGACTGATTAGGAATAAATCAGGCTTTCTGATCCGGATGTCCATGCTGGATCCGTTTCAAAGATTCATGCTGGATCCATTTCAAAGTATATGACCGATTCAGTCAACAGATCTATGTCAGATCCAGCCAAAAGATCCATACCGGATCCGTTCAAAGGATCAGGATTAATTTTGTTTTTACATGTTAATTTGACATTAAATAATTATATAATAACAATTTAGCCATCAAATTCATTTATTGTTGTTTGATAAGCAATTTTACACACAGAATGGATCAGATAAAAAACTAAATTCTATATTATGATCCAGTTCAGAACATCGGATACAATTTTACATTAAACAACCTACCGAAACCGTAATAAGATTCGTAGTATTAGATTCTGATTAGGAACTGATCAGATGGCTGGATCAAGGGTTAGGCTACTGTACTTTAATCCGAAACTGATTAGATAGCTGGTTCAAGGGAAAGGATACTGTACGCTAATCAGTTTCTGATCAGGTTACCAGATCAAAGGATGGAGTACTATATTCTCATTAGGAAAATCTGATCCATAATTCGGGTTCTCTAAACTAATTTCCAGTTGGGTAGTTAGTATGGAGAAATTGTAAAATAAGTTAGGAAAATCCTAGAAAGATAATATCGGTGTCATAATTAGCCACTAATTAACCCCTGACGATGTAGGGCTTGGAATTTTTTTTTTTCAAAATAGGGTCATTTTGCATCTTGATTCTGACTTCTCCTTGCTAGATGCTAATACTGCTATATCATCTGCAAATCTAAGCATACTAATCTTTTGCCCTTGTACATCTATCCCTACAGTTGTACTGTCTTTAATGATGTTGATCGCGTCTTCGATGTATAGATTAAAAAGTAGCAGTGACTGTGTGCATCCCTGTCTGACTTCCTTCCTAATATTTACTTCTCTACGTTGCTCTAGCTCTATAACTGCCTGTTGCTTTTTATACAAACTAAATATCAATCTGTAACTCATCCCTACATTTTTAAGTATATTTAACATCTTGTCCCATTTAACATTGTCAAAGGCTTTCTCTAAATCTACAAATCCTATGTACGCAGTCTTTCCTTTTTCTATCGTTTTCTCTATTGTTACCGCTGGAATGGCCTCCCCTATTTCTCTATTTCTTCTAAACCCTAATTGGTCTTCCCCTAATAGTTCTTCCATCCTTTTTTTCCACCCCACCCCCCCCTCTGTACAATTCTAATAAGATTTTTGATGCATGGGAAGTTAAGCTACTTGTTCTAAATGTCTCGCATCTATTCTCTCTGGGACTTCCCCGTCTCGTAAATGTGACTAGATAGCTTAAACATACGATCTTTAGCTTCTTGTCCTGCATGTTTTACAATTTCCGCCTGTATCCCATCTATACCTGGTGCCTAATTATTATTTTTTGATACTACATCGAACTCTTCTCTCATTATAGGATAACCTACCTCACCTATCTCCACACTATTTTCCTTCTCTAATATATCTCCTAACTCAGTGCTTGCGTATAGATTCTCTAAATATTCTTTCCACCTATCTACCTTTTCCTCATTTTATAGCAAAATGACCCCTGTCTCGTTTCTTATATTATCACTCTATTATAGTAGACACACTAAATCGGGTTTACAAAAACGAAAATTTTAAAATCAGTTAGGAAATGTGTAAATTTTATTTGGTTCACATGTAANACATCTAATTAGGACTAAAAAATCTTTAACATCTCTAGCTTTTTTCCGATAGGAACTAATCTTCGAAAATAATAAATTATTTTAATTCAAATATTTAGAATTAAAGAAATGTTAGGAGCATTAAAAAAACTAAAAATACGACTAAAACTACCTTAAAAAGCGCCGCTTAACTTACATGCTTGCAATATTACCACAATGAAAAGTATATTGTTATAAACGTATGCCTGTGGCGGCGGATTAAGTAAATACTGTTTAGCATCCTATAGAAGACTGACATTAAAATGATGAAGACGATGTTTTCAATGTACGAAAATGAGAAGTCCAAACATTCAAATATTTCCTGCCTGAACAATTTTGGTGTTCCTAAAGTTTTTGCGCCCTCAAAAATTTCCCGTCCCGTTGGTGCTCGGGCTTCACGAGCCTATAAGGTGCCATTTATTAATTACGTAAGAGTACCGAAGGAAAAGGGGGTTTAAGAAAATCTCTACATGTCCATATGTTGGTGATAGGGGAGAGAGAGTTGTAAAACTCATTCTTACTTAATATTTTGTAAATGTATATTCAATATTAAAAATTTAATTCCATTTTGGATTCCGAACGGTCGTCTTCATTTTATAGTGTAGGTACAATGTAATTTAAATCCTATTTGAAAAATTCTTTTTGCTTATTAAAAAAAATGTTTTATCAATGCGGAAAATTTTTGTGTACTGACTCACACAATGGCTACGTACAGAGATTTGTATGAAGCCTTTTCAAAACCTTACGAGAGTGAATTACCGAAAAAATTTTCTCAAGATAATTGTAATGCATGTTGGAAGAATCTTATGAAGCAACTTAGTGGTACAGAGCTACATAGTGCAATTGATCCTTTTTTAACATTTTATTATTTAGAAGAACTGTATAGAATCTTATGTAGGAAAGGAGAGAGGGAGTTCAAGGTTTCTTATGTATCCTTACATGGCGGTAAGGGGAGAATTATGAGTTTTTAGGTAAATAGGAAGCTAGGTAAGTCAGCATGGAAGGAATAGTAGATATAAAGGATAGCACTGGGTCGAATCGCCTTTAATAAAAAGAAGTCATTTCTATGCTCGTGAAATGTTAATTTAGAAATTCGAAAAAGATTGTTAAAGGTGTATGTTTGGAGCGCGGCGCTATACGGGTGCGAAACGTGGACGGTTAGAAAAGGTTAGAAGCGTTTGAAATGTGGTACAGATGAATGATAAGGATATCGTGGATAGAAAAAGTTAGAAATGGAGAGGTATTAGAAGGAATAGGAGAACAGAGGAGTCTACGGAAGTCAATAAGAATAAAAACCTATAGGGTACTTCCCGTTGACCTAGAATAGGAATAAAATCATGAAATATAACAAGAAGTAATGCCGTATAGCACAAGTAAAGGGTTCTAACCGTAAATTTGTACTTACATCACAAAAAAAATATTTTTGTAATTAGGTAGGTATACGTTTTGGCGACTGTTTTTGGGAAAAAACTTATAACACACTAAGAAAAAGCGGGATTCCCATGATGGACGAACTATTTACATACCTACAAGTGTGTACAAAACCCTCGGTGCGTTTTTTTTGTGTTTTCGTGGAAGAGGGGAAATGGCTAATTGATTTTGATAACTATATTAATTAAGTTTTAATGTTTGTTGATTTTCAGGGGGTATTTTTAGCACGATATGTCTATTTTTGAACTTTTGTTTCAGGAAAAGGAGTCGAGTGTCCAATTGGGTTATTAATAGTGAATAAATTCGTTAATGCGATCGTAAAACAGTTGGCGTAAACGCGTAAATCAAATCGGTGCCCTGTTGCCATCATAATAAGATTCATTTATGTAAAAGGCGTCGTAGTCTGCTGTAACAGAAGTTAAACGCCATTTGTTTGGAAGTAGTTTGTTTAACTAACAAGGTAAACGCGGTTGGCTGGCTATAATAACCAGCCGCGTATACCTTTTGGACGGCACGGTGCCGCTTGCATTTTGTCGGCACCGGGGCAATATTTTAATTCGAACATGTTATTATTAGCGAGAAGACAGTGAAAATACACACGGGGAGATCGCTACTTAAAATATGCAGTGAATAAAGTGGTGCGACCAATTGTTTTGACGGATTTATAAATTGTTTGGATTCACTGATCGAGCACAGATCCTCCTACCACGGTATGGATTTTATTCAACTCTTCGAGACCGACTTCACACACTTTGATTCCTCAGTTAACGAACGGGAACTTCTGCATATTGATTGATACGCTAAAATCAAAAACTTTAATTACTTACCTGCCTATACCTAAAAAAGCGATAAGTTTTATAATAATATCAGTTTCGTAATGATGTTGTGTTCTATCACCACTTTTACTGCCGTTATGAAAACATGAAATCGGTCTGGTTTTTGATCGTCTTCTTCTTC